TCTCCTCTCCTTGAGGATCATGGAATTACGTCTATTATACATACTTTGAAATACAACATACAATAATAGCCAAGGATATTACATGTTACAACTTCACTTTACTTCATACAATCCTCATTGATTCATATAAAAACAACATAAGATCACACAAGAACTTGAACTAGAAATGCACCTCTCGCACAGTGCACACCTTCGCATAGCGAGGCTATAAGCTTCTCGCATAGCTACTTAATTCGCCTTGCGAAAACCTTAGACAGAGACCAACTACTTTTGATTTCTCGCATAGCGACTAAACTCGCTATGCGAATAAACTGTGAAATGCATCAGACCCCAACCCCTTGCATAGCGTCCGAACTCGCTATGCGAGAACCTCAGACAGAGACTTGACTCCCCAAACACTCGCAGAGCGAGACCCACTCGCAGAGCGAGACCCACTCGCAGAGCGAGACCCACTCGCAGAGCGAGACCCACTCGCTGTTCGAATAAAAAGAACAATGGTTCCAGAGAGCAACCCTCTCACTTCACTCGCATAGCGCCCCTATTCACTATGCGAGTGCCTTGGCAGTGAACACCTCGCCAAGGTGACTCGCTATGCGAATCCATTTGCACAGCAAGTCTGCGTAATCTACAGAACGAAATTCTGCAGAATTATGCAACTTAACCCCATATTTACCAATTCCACTCAACTTTGCCAACTTCTAACAATCTTAATATGTTGTATATACTTAATTGGACTAGACTAAATGATTCTACACATTCCTAACCCCAATCTAAAGTGTTTATGCACCAAACTCTACTATAAAACCTCCAATTCATCAACTTAGAGACTCAAAACCAATTCTACCACTTTGAACTTGTTTTTGACCATTTTGATGACTCAAACCAGTCACATATGACCTATCTACACTACCCCAACAGTCCCTAACATCCCTTGACCATTACTACTCAAATTCACTACCTCACTTCCTCTAAAACACACTAAACACACTCAAATCACCTCACACTTTACTTCATCAACACCATAATAGATTATATACAGTAACCACTCCTAATTTGCGTAATCACAACACTTAGATTCATCCAAACCAGTTCATCAACAACATTCCAAAATTTCCACAATTTAACATTTCAAGAACATACACTCACAAGCTGGAATTTTAACTACACAACATTTTAACACAGCATTTACCACATATATTACCAATTTGATAACTAAAACACAAACTAGCTTCCCTTACCTCAGATATAAACAGCCCCAAACACAAAAACTCTCCAACCGTACCTTGCACTGCAAGGAAACTCAATAGAAACTTACAACTCACCAATTGGTGATAGATAACAACACTTAGAACCTAATTTGAGCTAGAAATTGGAAAGAGGAACCGTTAACCACATGCAACACAGAATCATTGCATGCTCACAGTCTAGAGAAGAACGGACAGAAATGAAAACCACTTACTAACTGAAGAACACGAAATTGATCGGTCCAAAACGAAACCCTCAATGCCAGTATCGCTTAGGCACCTCCTAATCGTTGAACAGATAACTCAGCGGAGAGAAATTGTAGAGAGAAGTCAGAGAACTCTGAGGAATAGAGTTCTAGAGAGATAAAATGTTCTTAGAATAACGAGAAGTGTGTTTACAAAAATTCAATTTATATTGTAAGATTATTTTAAAGTAAAATAATCTATCTCATTATTTTAATTCATCTATCTGCTTTATAACACTCTATTTTTTAGGTCTAAAACATTAGGTATCATTTATAATATATGCATTCTATCTGATTTTATATTGTTATATCTCATTGATTTTGATTTTTTCTAAATTTGATATATAGACAGAAAACAAAAACAAAAAATTATTTAAACAAACTACTTAGAATAAACTTCTTTCATTATCAAAATTGAAGCATGAAGAGTATAATAGACTTCAATTCTAATAAAAATCAAAGCCTATAATACTTTTTCATTTAAAATTATTTAATTTAGAAAATATTAGACATCTTATAATAAAACTTAAAATATAATAATCTAATTTAAATGAATTATTTTATTTTAAAGGTATTACTTTCGGTTATTTGGATTATTTGGAGAATTGAGATCTAACCTACTTTTAAAATTAAATAACTTTTATACCAAAAAAATTAGACTTCAATTATTAAAATAACTTAAACATAATATATTTTTTAAATTTTTTATTATTTATTAATAATTTTATTCTTTTAATTTTTATAAACCAAGGCTTATTTATGATTCTGTTCACAACTGGAACAAAGAAAAAGTCACCTTTTTTTTACTCTCTCAGTTATCAAACGAATGCATATTATCTCACATGACCATCTGGTGCACTGGTCAAATCAATTAAAAGTACTAATTGAAAAATAAAAGCGGTAGAATGTGACTCAAGGAAAGAAAAAAAAGTATCTGAAAACCGTCTTGATGATCCAATTCATGTGCACAGTTTCCAAATAATTGCATAAAATATTGTGGCAGCTTGTGTTACTCCAAGGGATGGAAATCCACTTAAAGATTTGCAATTTTCAAAGGCAATTAAAAATATTGCAATCCCACGTGATAAAAGGTAAAATAAGTGACTCTAGACATTTATTTATTTGCAAGTTTTTCCTTTAGAGTATAGAGATGAGCACAAGATGCATATCAAAACGCTTGTTTTCTTCAAGGAATCTTTATAGAATGTCGTATATTGCTGTGAGTGGATCTTTCCATGTTCTATTCGTACTTTTTATACAAACTTTGCATGTAATTTTCAAGTCTGGGAAAATATTCATGAATATCAATTCCAAGTAGTTGAAGGACATCTCATTTGGACATGTATGAGAGGAATCAACGAATCATTCAATCATGTATGTATGCATTTACGGCTAAAAATACAAACTTCAGTGGTAGAACCATTCTACCACATTGAAAAACCAAACCATAGAAAAAACATCGCTGACACTACAAAATTAAACAAATTCTCTCTTTCTATGGATTACAGACATTCTATCCGCTCCCTTTTTTTAAACAAATTCTTATATAATCTTTGTCTTTCTTTAATTATTTAGAGGCACTATATTACTTTTTAACTCCTTTATTTTATTCCATGGAGTATCGACTTTCTTCATTCGTTTTATCTCTCCATCTAACTAATCTAATTTTTTATTTAATTATAATTTCTATCATGCTTCATAAAAACTCTAGCCTAATTTGATATAATAATTTTTATAATCGGTTCATGATTATATTATTTTCTTTTTTCTTTTTAAATACAGTTATTCTAGTTAACTTCAGTTAAATAACCAGCATTATATCAGTTTAGGCATAATTCTAAACTAACATTCACAAGTTTTCTATGTTATTTTGAGTTATGACGATTAAATTAATCATAGGTCCTTAGTTCTCCGTGGTTAAAACTTTTAATAAAATTTTTTTAAAAAAATTGCCATTGAACTCTTCAGTCATTTAATCTATGTAATTAAGTTGGCAAAAAATATCTATGTAATTAAGTTGGCAAAAAATTTATGGTGGACGGCAACTTCTAAGACAATAGGAAATTGTCAAATTTTTTTAAAAAAAAGGTGGCCACGTATCCTTTTAATTTCTTGAAATAAGACCTTTGGTTTTGTCTGTAAACAAACATTAACATTTTAAGAAATATGATCTGTTCATTCACTGGTATTCTATGCAAACACCTAACTTAAGATAATAATGAAAAAGGATCATAAAGAGAAAAAATAAAATAAAAAAAAATAAGAAAAAGGAGGAATGAAAAGAAGTAGTAAAAAAGGAAATAAGAAAGGAAGAAGAGAAAGAAGACGCTTACCTTAAAGAATTAAGTTTTTATATTGAGATGAGATACCACTAGATACCAATTAACCTTAACGTAAGAAACAAATAAAAAATAAGAAAGACTAGTGTCAAATAAATTTAATTTAAATGTCTTAAAATATAATTTTTCTTTTCGAAACTAAATAATTAAACTTTCAAAGACGTAACGGTATTCATCCATTTAAGAGAGTTAATTACAATAGTTTTACCAATTCAAAATTTATAGGAGCAACCGTTTTTAGTTTAAAAACCTAATAATAATTCAAGCACCCACTGGAATCATTTATCGTTTGTTCTACCCTTTTTCTGCAGAATCTATGAAAAAAACTTAGCTCACTTGGTACTGCTGCCCAAGTTTAAAATTATTTCATGTCAATTTGATATGATGTTATTCATTTTAGAATGACAGCATAGAAGAGTCAACATTGTCTCCTATTGTTGTAATAAACAACGTTCATTAAAAAAAGTTCAGAGCCAAACAATGGTATTAAAGTCCCTTACATTCTCAAGGTTCACAGACGTCAAAAGCATTATGTACCAATCCTTGGGTGTGATGGGCTGATTCAATGATAAAATAAAACAGAGGGAGTGGTTATGCAGTGAAAAGTCAAAACATTTACCATTAGAAGCATGAATAAACGTTAATGAGACGTACGAAATAAAAGAAAGGAAGAAAAAGAGGAGGGACAGACCGTACTGAAGCACATTAAGGCTAAACCTGCCTATAACACAAACCCAAAAACTAAAAAACAAGGTGAAGAGATAGATAGATAGGCATGAAAAGAAAAAAACACTAAGCCTAAACCACTGTATGATTGATTAATCAGCTTGGAACCACATGTTACGTGGGACCAAACATATCAAAAATCGATCATTTGCATGAATCGTAAGGCAGTTAACGCTTCACAACCAGATCGTACAACACACCCTAATCACGCCCTCCCAAGAGTTGGTGCTATCATATAATACACATATCATATCATTTCATAAATCTTATCACATTATAATAATGCACTAACCCAAATAATAGTAAACATAAGAAAATAGCCAAATTTTCCACACACAAAAAAAAAAAAGGGCTTTGCATAATCTCTTACGAACATCCACTGAAACTCAGAAATCACAAAGTATATTACATAAGCAGATAGATTAGAAGCTAAACAATAATGATAATGATATCAATAATAATAAACATTCTGCCATTGTATTTGTATTGCTAATTGCAAATTCAACATTCCCAGCCGAATATATCGCACTACAATCACGATGACGAAGAATATAATCAAGACCATACTGAAACAAAATAAAACTTTAATATTTTGGTTAATATAAACTTATATAAAGTATTTGTTATTGTTATTATTACTTTTTTAATCTACAAAATTTCAACCTCTATACAAAGGAGACCGTTCCTGAACCACTTTAGAAACCTTCGATTGCCGGAAAGCCTTCATCGGGCTTGGAAAGAACCACCCTCTCCCCTTCGTCCGCGGTCTCAATTCTCCGTCGCCGGAAACCGCAGTAACCGCCACTGACTTCGACCGCACCATCACCGGATTTACGCTCCCGTCTCCGTCGCGTTCCTCCGCCAAAATCTTCTTTGCGTCCCACTCCTGCTCCGGCGCGCCGCCTCTCGTGCTCTTCTGCGACTTGAACATTGACCAGAACGACCTCGCCGACCTGCTTCCGTTCAACGCCGGCGAGTCCCTAGCGCTGTCGAGATCCAAACCCCGGTCGCCGCCACCGGAGAACCGCGACCGCGACCGGAGAAACGGAATCGCCATGGAGCGCGAGCGCCGGAGTCCTGGCTCCTGGTCGATGAGGTTGTGGACGCGGCCGACGCCGCCGACGCTGCCAGAGCCGCCGGGCAATCGAGAGAAGGAGGAGGAGGAGGATGAAGAGGAGGAGGAGCTAGTGGCATAGCAGGAACAAGGGCGCACGTTAGCACAATCAGGGCACAGAGTTGCGAGACGGTCGCGAAGACAGATTGGGCAAATTCCGCTTCTTCTTCGTTTGGATGGATGCTTGGGACACTTCCAAACTTCTTCTTCGTCGAGGTACAACGCCATTTTCTTTCTATTGGAGTTTTTTCTCTCTCTAGTTTTGAGCTTAATTTCCTTGTTCTATGTTTCTCTGGTGAATTTTCTTTCTATCTCTGTTTGTTTTTCTCTCTCGCTTTCATTGAGGGTGAGGGGATTTAAAAGGAGTGCAGTTAACCATGGTTAGCGTTACGAGGGGCGCACTTTAACCAGGGTGAGTGACTGTTAGGGAACCAAACGCCCCGTTTTGGGTAACGGTTCGGGTTTGTCGAAATGAGTGAGTGGGTTAGCGGCGTTTTTATGATTCGGTCCTTAATTGGGGATATGATTAACGGGAAAGCCATTAGAAAAATAAAAGAAAAAGAAAATGATTTGTGGTGTGTGCGTTTCAAAAACTGAAAAGGTGAATGTGATTGCTGAGAGTGGATGTGTGTTGACACCTTCTAAGTCGTAAAAAGTAATGCAGCGTTGCAGACACAAGGAATGCATTTTCACATCTGAGATGGGACTACAAAGCAACCCAACAACTCAGGACTGGTCCCACTCCCAACAAGATTATTACTTAATAATGCACACTTACATTTCCCCATTTTTAACTCTTTTTAATATCTATTTATACATTACAAAGTTAGATCAACCAGTATTTATCAATCTGCGTTTACTTTCTCAAATATAAAAATATCTACTTTAAACTATTTTAAATTATATCTTACTTTACCAAAACATATATATATATTTTTAAAAATTGAACAAATTAGAAAGTAAACGAAAATTAGTTTAGATGCCTTTTTCATGAAAAATAATTAAACCGGAGTTGCGAGCTTCTTTACACGTGTATATATTGTTTTGATGAAAGTTGTGATTTTGTTAATTCAGAAGTGATGATGATTTGGATTATTTTAAATTTGATTGTTATGAATGCAACAAATGCAACAAACAGGTGTGGAGGAAACTTTGACTTAGTGGCAGTCTTCTTCCTTCCTGATTTGAATAATTTTTTTAACAAGAGGATTTCTGAATTTAAAACAGAATTTGTTGTGGTAGATGAAAATTATTTAAAGCACAAGTTGTTTATTGCAGAATAAGAGCATTTAAAAGCATACGGAGTCCTCTAAGGTCAAAAAGATAATAAGAAAATTCTCATGAGTGAAACTGTTCCTACGAAATTCAATATAGTACGCCTCATCGCCAAAATGGTCAAAGCCATTGAATAACCGTGTCTCTTAATTGCTCGGTTTGAGCGTGTCAACGTGCACGTGCAAAGACAAGAAGAAACGGAGCCACGAAGGAGCAACATTTTTACTTTTGCGTTGTTGTTCAGGATTCGGTGTCTGTCAGTCACCAATAATTATGATTGCATTCGTAAGAGAAGCAAAATTTCCAAAGGCCTAGTAGAAAATATTTCGAAATTGAAACGTAATAGTAGAAATAAGTGGTGTAGCTATTAATATTTATAGGTGGACATGTATGAAAAGAATTATGGTGCCCCCACGTAGTGATGGACATTAATTTGAAGATGGAAGCTTTTTTGTTGTTGCTATTTTTCGACAAGGATTTTGTTTAATGTTTTGTTGGGTGGTCTTTTCAGAGGGACGGTTAGGGTAAAGGGTTTAATAGTTTACATTTGCCTGCTTTTAATAGATATTGTTACTTTGGCGTTGTGAGCATGTCCCACCCAAAGTACACTAAATCGCATCCAGCTCCTTCTCCTGCTACTTCTGTAGGACTCTTTTGTTTAACGCTTCTACAAAACCCAAATTAACAATGGTTAAACTTTATCTAACTACAAACCAAAACCATGCCTTTAGTCCCATGCAAAGGTCACTCTCTCTCTACCCTAGTGATGCAAAAAACACACTGACACCTCTCCACCCTCCAAACCAATACGGGATTCTGTCGGCACGTGTCAAAAATACCCAACCGGGACGGGCTTAGGCCCTTGGACTCTGATCGGTGCTACTTGGGCTTTAGCCCGAAAGTTGGACGCCAGAATTCTTGAACAAGCTTTGATTAAAATTAGTTCCCTAAATTTGACCTTTTGAGTTTTTCAAAACAAATAAAATAATTTGTAAATCTTATAATCAACCATTCATTTTCAAAGGTTTGACAATGGATGAAATGGTCCGAACAACGACATTTTTCTCTTTTTTCATCGTAGTGGCACCCGATTCAACCATCGTATCACTGAATAATTCCAAAGCTCTTAAGAATTGTATGCATAGCAGTCAAAATTTCATTAAAAAGAAGTATCCGTATATGATTCCATTTATAAATATTAGTATATAATATAGTGTTATGTTATTTTATGAATAATCAGATCAGTAAACATATAAGAATCACTAGTTGTGCGGTTTATCACTAACTTTTTCCTAAAATCTCAACAGTTCAATAATTTCTAAGTACACAGTGCATGCTGTAGGAATTAATTCCTTAAAGTTTATTAGTCGCTGCGAAACAGGGTTTGGATACGTTAAAAACGAGAGATTCAAACTCAGGTTTTCTGAACGAAAATAATAGAAGAAAAATATATTTTTTCTTTTCGTAAAATAATTAATATTATTTAATAAAGATTAGTAGTGAGTAAAACCAATAAATTAATCTAATTAAATTTATTCTTCGTCTGTTTTAGTTTGGTAAATTTGCAATTTTTTTTTATAAAATTTTAAATGCATATTTAGCTTTTCAGTTTTTTCAAAAACAATATTTTTGTCGTTGTGATTAGATAGTACATTAATGTTAGATAAAAATAATGATTGGTTTTAGAAAACTGACAAATGTGTCATGAAAATGTATACAATGATTAAAATTACGTATAACAAAATATGGGACAAAACGTGGATTTAAGAAAAAAAAAATCTGTACTCAAAAATGAAAACCGTCCCAAGCAATTTAGTTTCACATCTTACTTCACCGTGTAATTTCTCACTATAGTTATAGTTAAATGATGAACATCTAAATCTCTTCACCATATGGACTACCTTACATGTTATTTATTTTCTTTTTCATCACTTTTCACTTATCAAAATAGTTGGAATGGGATTTCAGAAGATTCTTTTAGGAAATTTATCAGGATTCGAGGTAGATTAGTCTGATATCTAAAACAAAAATGAGCTTTGATATGCTAAAGGGAGGAAGTTCAATTGCAAGAAATTTGACCCTCAAGTCTGTAATAAATATTTTGTGAATATGAGAATAAAAAATGAGTATTGGATGAATATCTTCCCTGTGTAACAATGTACTTAATTAGACATTTGGTCATAATATTTGTTGAGTTGGTTTAATTTCATTTGTTTATTTTTTTTAATTTACTTCTTCAATTTTTTAAAATAGTATGTTGAATATAGGAAAAAACTATATATGAAATTAATCTCCATTGTGTTGAATATACACATAGGTCCTCTATTTATAATAGAATAAATATGGACTAAGCTCAAAATACAAATAAGAAATAATAACAAACTTACTAAAGATACAAAATAAAGATAATATATCTAACACTCTCCCCTTAAGCTGGCGCATACAGATCTTATGTACCAAGCTTGTTACTAATATAATCCATAAAGACTTAGTGAAAATATCTGCTTATGCATTCGAGTGACACTAAATCGCTAATGATTTGCAAGACGACATAGAAGACGAAATACCAACCCAAAAGACTCCCCCTGAGCAACAGATTTGGGAGGTTGCTCCATGTAAATCTCTTCTTGCAAATTGCCGTTGAGGAATGCCACCAGTGGATAAAGATGTAATTGTTGGAGAGCCACCACGGCTATAAAAAAACTAACAAAAATCATCTTTTCCATGAAAAAAAAAAGTATATATGGATGGGTCAAACACAATGGTGACAAAAAAGAGAGGTCATAAGAGACAACACTGGAAGAAGCCATGGATGAACAGGAGAGAGAGACTATTAAAATCCAAGATTCTCCAATCAAGGCACCTAAAAAAGGAAAAAGAGTAACCTCGATGCTCTGAATAGCTGTCTGAGATGAGACGGGACGTGCAACAACACACGATGAACCTGAAAGGGGAAAATGAGCGATCTCGACGTTCTGAATTGCTACTAGACATGCCACAATGCACGACGAAAAATGGAGCGAATCCATAACTTTAAAAGGTGTTAAGAGCGCATATGAGCTCCGATGAAGGCGTCATTGATGACATGATGGTTGCCTAGCCGAGACGATCAAAATCATGTGATCATCGGTCAAAAGTAGAACATCGGTAGTGGCAACAGTATACAATAGCAATAGATGACGGCGCCGTAGGCGACAATAGATGGCACCACCGCCGGTAGCGACAAATTTAGTGGCAGAGGTACCATAAACTTTTTTCCTTAAAAGAACCTTAGGCTTTAGTTACCATGTTAAATATATTAAAAAAGTATGTATAAGATTAATCTCCCTTGTGTTGAATATACACATAGGGTCCTCTATTTATAATAGAAGAAATATGGGTTAAGCCCAAAATACAAATAAGAAATAGGCTTAATACCTCTTTTGGTCCCTCGAAAGAGGGGTTGTGTTCAAAATAGTCCTACATTTTTTAAAAAGTAACAATTGGTCCCAACTTTTGAAAAAACTGATTGTTACTTTTTTTCAAAAGGATTAACTTGAACAATTTTTTCAAAAGTTGGAACCAATTGTTACTTTTTAAAAGGTTTAATCCTTTAGTACATCCCTATTTATGTACGAATGTCTCAATTGGGTCCTCGTTTTTTAAAGTGTATCAAAATGGTCCTTAATTTTGAAAATTGATATCAATTGAGTCCTTTCCGTTAAGTTGGGTGGACGGCGTTAAAAAAATTGATGAGTGGATGCTGAGATGACGAACGGACGCTCGTCCACCAGCGGACGAACGCTCGTCCATCAGCGAACGAACGCTCGTCGACCACCGAACGAACGGTCGTCCAGTGTGGAACGAACAGTCGTCCAGCAGTAAGAGGTCGACGAGCGTTCGTTTTCTAGTGGACGAGCGTTCGTTCTCTGGTGGACGAGCGTTCGTTCGCTGGTGGACGAGCGTTCGTTCGTCATCTCAGCATCCACTCATGAATTTTTTTAACGCCGTCCAGCCAACTTAACGGAAAGGACTCAATTGATATGAATTTTCAAAATTAAGGACCATTTTGATACACTTTAAAAAACGAGGACCCA